CCTCCTCTACTCCACTGGAAAATTCCAGCCTCGGTATGCATTTCACCCAGAGGAGAACTTTTAACACTGTGAGAAGCAATGGTTGGAAAACTTCCCCATAATGCTCAGGGGGAAAAGGTGAATAAGGGCTCCACCCATTTGGGTTGGGGTGCTCGGTTGATGAGTTTCTCTCGAGATGGGGACAGGAGGCAGGGCAAGGCTTTTCTAGTTTCAGGGGATGTCTTTGTAGAACCATCAAAACCTGATTCTTTGTGGCAAGACAAACAAACTAAACAATTTTTTCTCTGAAGACACTGTGAGCATTGGTACCATACTAAATGATCCCTGGAGAACTGATAAAGAGGGCCTCAAATAGATGCAGGGTAGAGACCAGAGCTGCAAAGATGTTCATCTGCATGAACGGAGTACACTGCACAGACCTTATTCTGTGTGCGGCCTTGACCTTATTCCTTCAAACCAAGTGTTTCTGCAAGGCCCCAAGGCTAGGGACAGTCCCCTGAGTGACTAAGTCAAAGCAAGTATGAAGTGAAGCCAAACAGCTTCTGACATTTCAATTGTCATGGAGACGGGGTCTGGGAGAGAGTGTCCAGAGCTGCCACTATTTTTTCATCACTTTTCATGATTCAAATTGAAACCCCTAGCTGCTGAATCATGTTTCTTTTCTTTTCCTGATGGGTTTTTCCTCTTCTGGGAGAGTGGGTGAGGCCTTTCAGACACTGGCTCCCAGCCCCGAGAGGAAAGCTGAAGAGGCCAAGAAGAAAGTTCCTGTGGGACGTCATTGGAGACCCAGATTTTCCAGGAAAGGAAACTCGACAGCGCCCTGTCATCCACTGCCATATAGAACTGCCATCCTTCCTGCTGAGAGAGATTCCCTGGCCATCTCAGTGGAGTTGGGGGGACAACAGGATGGCCAGGGGTCTGCAGAGTAAGGGGCTCTGAAGGACCACTCAGGTTAGAGGTGCAGAGCACAGGGCCCTGAGCAGAACAAAGAGCAAGAGCAGAGGGAAACCTTCTCTCGGCACGTGCCACATGGCCAGGGCTGCCAACAGGGAGCTGTGCCTCCCACCCATTCGTTCTCTCTGCTCTTGCTCACCTGTGGTCCCAGGTGGCAGCTGGCTAAAAGCAAAGTGGTGCTTGATTTATGACCCAAGTGGGAGCTGAAGCCTAGAAAAGCATTTGGAATAAAACAAGCACTTCACTTCTCCAGCCACCTCACACTCTGGTTCTGTGGATGGGAGGCTGGGAAGGCTGTTAACTGTCAAAACTGCTCATCTTTTCTATCAGGTTATTTATTTATGTATGTATTTATTTATTTATTTTCAGTCTACAAGATAGTAGACCATCTGTCCTGCAAAACCTGAGACAGGCACAGGTATCAAGAGGAAAGACTTTGGGATTCTTTCTTTCTTTTCTTTTTTTCTTTGCAAACAAAAAATGTCTAGAAGCTGCTGGGCTTACCTGACGCTGCCTGTCAACTGAGGCTCTTGGGAGCTACCCAAGAGGTAAAAAGATGCTTCTAAATATCGAGACTTAGACGCCTTTTAGTTTACCTTCTAGGTGACATTTCAGCCTCTTTGCCCTTATTGGAGGTCTGGGGTTTTTTCTCTTGACCCAGCAAGTGGGGTGGACCCCACCCAGCTGACACCAGCTCACGACAGCCTCTGCCTCCTAAGCAAACCAAAGGACATGTCCAAACACAGGAGAAAAGGCAGAGGGACTTCCAGGGGATATGGAGTTGGCATCAGCACGCAATTTAGCTGAGACAAGTATTCTTTAAGAAAATGTTCCCTTATTTTCTGTGTGCCTTGGCAAACTCAGGGTGGAATGTGAGGGTTGCCATGGCAATCTTTTTTTTTCCTTTTTTAACAGATTGGTCACATGGGACCCACGCACATTCTGGAAGCTACTGCTAACACTTCCCATGCTGGGTCCCACTGGGGGTCTCTGCCTGCTTCTGGGGTAATGGTCACTGGCTTCTTTGGGGGCCACAGGAATAAGTCAGAGCCCCTCCACCAACTCCCAGGCAAAAGTCCCTCCCGACCTTGTATGGGCCTTATCTTTTAGCAGAGCAAGTCAAGCAGAGTGGTTGGGCTGTCACTCAGCCACCACCACTGCAGTCTCCTGAACCTACCAGTCAGATAGAGCCAGAACTGGCTCCTTCCTCTGCTCCTGCAGAGGCCCTAGCAGCAGGGACCATGTCACACCTGTGGTCATGGAGGAGCAAATTGCCTTAACCTGGCATGAGTTTCATTAGTTCATCAGTCCTGTTATATGGACAGTAATGTGGTGACGGGGGAAGAGCTCTGGAGAGGACAGGGATGGGGAGAGTCAGGAAAATCACTATCTGAAACCACCTGACCAGGGGCCCAACAGTGTGGCACACTGTCCAGGTATAGCAGCCAGCCTGTGGGTAATGGGGCAAGCTTTTAGCCCCTAAGGTCAAACACCACCAGTTCTGGGCTCTCTCACCTTTTAGCTCTGGGATGCCACGGGTGAGACAGAATTGCCAGCCTGTTGGGGAAACTCCTGCCTTTTACAGGCACGAAACAGGCTAAAATCTCTTCCGAATTAAGAGTTTGCTTTCCAGTCATGGCACAAGGAGAGAGGGTTCTGTTTTTTGGGGGGAGGGAGGGTCTGACTGGAGGTGCCTCTCCAGAATTCTGCTTCATCCAGCCCTGTGCATTGCTCATTTCTCTGTCTCTTCCTTCCCTTCCCTTCCCTTCCTTTCTCCCCTTCCCTCCTCCATTCCTCCCTCCCTCCCTTCCTTCCTTCCTTCCTTCCTTCCTTCCTTCCTTCCTTTTCTTTCTTTCCCTTCTCTTTCTTTCTTTCTTTCTTTCTTTCTTTCTTTCTTTCTTTCTTTCTTTCTTTCTTTTCTTTCTCTCTTTCTTTCTCCTTTCTTTCTTTCTTTCTTTCTTTCTTTCTTTCTTTCTCTCTTTCTTTCTTTCCCTCCCTCCCCCCTCCCTCCCTCCCCTCTTTCCTTCCTTCTATCTTTCCTTCCTTTCTTCTTCTTGTTTATCTTGGGACTACAGCTGGAATGCTCAAGGTTTGCCCCTGGCTCTGTGCTCAGGGATCACACCTGACAGGGATCAGGGGTGCCAAAATAGAACCTGGGTTGGTCGTGTGCAAGGCAAACGCCCTTCCTGCTGTACTATCTCTCAATAAAGCCTCACATCTAGTCCGAGTTCCAGCTTCGAGGAGGGTAGCTTGCACAGAAGGGCTTCTCACCTGTGCCTGGAACTGTGTCCCTGAGGGTGTCTATCTAGGCCCATTAGAGCCTTGCGCCCTCTTCCCCCGGGGCTCTGGGAAGATCTCCCCAGCTCCTGTTAAAAGAGGGAGGACAAAAGGCCTGGGGGTCTGGGGGTGGATTTGCCTTATGCCTCTCGGCTTGTTTTCGGCTGCTGATCCTGAGGGACATTGAGTTAGGCTGGGGAGAGGGGCAGGGCAGGGGGGAGGGACAGACAGGTGCTGTCTTCCTTGCCCTGGATGTACCTGGGAGGACACCTGGGGATTTTCACTGGGGAGACTTTCAGGACCCCTGGGCTCGTTCCCTGGACTATGGCTCAAACCCTAGTTTGACTTGTGCTCATCGGGAATACAGGGCTATTCGCATTGTCCCACCGGGGGACCTTCCTACAGCTCCTCCCAGGCTGTAGCTAAGTGCTTGGAGAGGTGGGTTAGAAGACCCGCAACGGAAGCCTCAGTTGCTATGTCTAAGAAGGCAGTAAGGAGGAGGCTGAGGGGAGGGGGGGCGGGGAGGGGCGGACACCTACCTGGCTGGCTGCATCTAGAGGGCAAGGTTCGGGTGCCTCAATCCTGGAAGAAAGGGGGAGGCAGGAGCATGGGGCTTGAGGATGCAGTCTGAGCACAGGAGCAAGACCATTCCATTCCAGAAATAAAGACCTGAGCTTGGAAAATTACAAAGGGAAATATTCCAGCTAGAGATTATAGGCTAATCAGATTCTGCAAGCTTAAATTCATAGATGCGTTGATATATGGGATCTGGAGAAAGTCAGGGAGGGACAGACTTGCAGTGGTGTTGGAAATGGATCATTGGATTCAGTTCCCTTCCCGGTCAGAAGTGTTCTGCAGGCAAGAGGCGCTGCCCTGCCCTGTGGGCTTAGGGTATATACTTTCAAGGGTTTCTCTTGGGATAAGGAAGCCCGTGCAGGCCCTGAACCCAGAAGTTGGCACATAAAACACAGTTACAGACTTTTCATGTTTCCATTTTGGACGATGTTTCTCTTCAGGTCTGGGGAAGACTAACTAACAAAGCAAATTTTGAGGTGAGAATAAGGGCAGAAGCTGGAGGACCTTAACTTCTAGAGGTCTCTGGCCCTGAGATGGGGCTCCATTACTTGGGCCACCGGGAATGAGGGGGGAGGTCCCCCAGTGTCATCCCTTCTCAGCCCCCAGATGACCTCATCCCCTTCCCCAAAGAGGCAGAGGATGCACTGGAGGCGCAGCTGAGGCGGAGCAAGCAGAGGGAAGACCGGGTAGGCATACAGAAGCTGGGGCTCTGGTGTCTGGGCTGGACAGTGCCCAGAGGTGCCCTGTCTCCAAGGGCAGCCCGGCGGCAAAACGGGGGGGGGGGGGCGGGTGTGTGTGGGGGGGAGGCTCTCTGCAGCTTCCAAAATGCTGGTGCGCGGTGGGCTCTGGGAGCAGAAAGCCAAGTGCCGATGGAAACCGAGAGCTCCCCCACCCTGGCCCTCGAGGTCGAGGAAAAGGCAGTAAGAACGGAAGCGAAGCGGGTGTGCCTTAGACCACACAGTGCCTCACCCCGTCCGAGGACTCTCCCCTCTCGCCTTCGGGGGGGGTGGGGGTTGGGGGTTCCAGGGGGTGGGAGAAGAAAGCCAGGGAGCAATGGCAAAGCCCCCTCTTCTGTAGCAACCCCAAAGTTAGCCTCGGGGACTGAGGGTTCCCCCGGGGGGCTGAGGGGTGTCTCCAGCTGATGGGGTCCGGGGGTGGCCACCAGAGCTCCGAGACAAGATGCAGTTCTCTCC